TTTGGAAGCATGTCTGGCAGTTTTTGGAAGCATGTATGGCAGTTTTTGGAAGCATGTATGGCAGTTTTTGGAAGCATGTATGGCAGTTTTTGGAAGCATGTATGGCAGTTTTTGGAAGCATGTATGGCAGTTTTTGGAAGCATGTATGGCAGTTTTTGGAAGCATGTATGGCAGTTTTTGGAAGCATGTCTGGCAGTTTTTGGAAGCATGTATGGCAGTTTTTGGAAGCATGTATGGCAGTTTTTGGAAGCATGTATGGCAGTTTTTGGAAGCATGTATGGCAGTTTTTGGAAGCATGTATGGCAGTTTTTGGAAGCATGTCTGGCAGTTTTTGGAAGCATGTATGGCAGTTTTTGGAAGCATGTATGGCAGTTTTTGGAAGCATGTATGGCAGTTTTTGGAAGCATGTATGGCACTTTTTGGAAGCATGTATGGCAGTTTTTGGAAGCATGTATGGCAGTTTTTGGAAGCATGTATGGCAGTTTTTGGAAGCATGTATGGCAGTTTTTGGAAGCATGTATGGCAGTTTTTGGAAGCATGTATGGCAGTTTTTGGAAGCATGTATGGCAGTTTTTGGAAGCATGTATGGCAGTTTTTGGAAGCATGTATGGCAGTTTTTGGAAGCATGTCTGGCGGTTTTTGGAAGCATGTATGGCAGTTTTTGGAAGCATGTATGGCAGTTTTTGGAAGCATGTATGGCAGTTTTTGGAAGCATGTATGGCAGTTTTTGGAAGCATGTATGGCAGTTTTTGGAAGCATGTATGGCAGTTTTTGGAAGCATGTATGGCAGTTTTTGGAAGCATGTATGGCAGTTTTTGGAAGCATGTATGGCAGTTTTTGGAAGCATGTATGGCAGTTTTTGGAAGCATGTATGGCAGTTTTTGGAAGCATGTATGGCAGTTTTTGGAAGCATGTATGGCAGTTTTTGGAAGCATGTATGGCAGTTTTTGGAAGCATGTATGGCAGTTTTTGGAAGCATGTATGGCAGTTTTTGGAAGCATGTCTGGCAGTTTTTGGAAGCATGTATGGCAGTTTTTGGAAGCATGTATGGCAGTTTTTGGAAGCATGTATGGCAGTTTTTGGAAGCATGTATGGCAGTTTTTGGAAGCATGTATGGCAGTTTTTGGAAGCATGTATGGCAGTTTTTGGAAGCATGTCTGGCAGTTTTTGGAAGCATGTATGGCAGTTTTTGGAAGCATGTATGGCAGTTTTTGGAAGCATGTCTGGCAGTTTTTGGAAGCATGTATGGCAGTTTTTGGAAGCATGTATGGCAGTTTTTGGAAGCATGTATGGCAGTTTTTGGAAGCATGTATGGCAGTTTTTGGAAGCATGTATGGCAGTTTTTGGAAGCATGTCTGGCAGTTTTTGGAAGCATGTATGGCAGTTTTTGGAAGCATGTCTGGCAGTTTTTGGAAGCATGTATGGCAGTTTTTGGAAGCATGTATGGCAGTTTTTGGAAGCATGTATGGCAGTTTTTGGAAGCATGTATGGCAGTTTTTGGAAGCATGTATGGCAGTTTTTGGAAGCATGTATGGCAGTTTTTGGAAGCATGTATGGCAGTTTTTGGAAGCATGTCTGGCAGTTTTTGGAAGCATGTATGGCAGTTTTTGGAAGCATGTATGGCAGTTTTTGGAAGCATGTATGGCAGTTTTTGGAAGCATGTATGGCAGTTTTTGGAAGCATGTATGGCAGTTTTTGGAAGCATGTATGGCAGTTTTTGGAAGCATGTATGGCAGTTTTTGGAAGCATGTATGGCAGTTTTTGGAAGCATGTATGGCAGTTTTTGGAAGCATGTATGGCAGTTTTTGGAAGCATGTATGGCAGTTTTTGGAAGCATGTCTGGCAGTTTTTGGAAGCATGTCTGGCAGTTTTTGGAAGCATGTATGGCAGTTTTTGGAAGCATGTATGGCAGTTTTTGGAAGCATGTATGGCAGTTTTTGGAAGCATGTATGGCAGTTTTTGGAAGCATGTATGGCAGTTTTTGGAAGCATGTCTGGCAGTTTTTGGAAGCATGTCTGGCAGTTTTTGGAAGCATGTATGGCAGTTTTTGGAAGCATGTATGGCAGTTTTTGGAAGCATGTATGGCAGTTTTTGGAAGCATGTATGGCAGTTTTTGGAAGCATGTCTGGCAGTTTTTGGAAGCATGTATGGCAGTTTTTGGAAGCATGTATGGCAGTTTTTGGAAGCATGTATGGCAGTTTTTGGAAGCATGTATGGCAGTTTTTGGAAGCATGTATGGCAGTTTTTGGAAGCATGTATGGCAGTTTTTGGAAGCATGTATGGCAGTTTTGGAAGCATGTATGGCAGTTTTGGAAGCATGTCTGGCAGTTTTTGGAAGCATGTATGGCAGTTTTTGGAAGCATGTATGGCAGTTTTTGGAAGCATGTATGGCAGTTTTTGGAAGCATGTCTGGCAGTTTTTGGAAGCATGTATGGCAGTTTTTGGAAGCATGTATGGCAGTTTTTGGAAGCATGTATGGCAGTTTTTGGAAGCATGTATGGCAGTTTTTGGAAGCATGTCTGGCAGTTTTTGGAAGCATGTATGGCAGTTTTTGGAAGCATGTATGGCAGTTTTTGGAAGCATGTATGGCAGTTTTTGGAAGCATGTATGGCAGTTTTTGGAAGCATGTCTGGCAGTTTTTGGAAGCATGTATGGCAGTTTTTGGAAGCATGTATGGCAGTTTTTGGAAGCATGTATGGCAGTTTTTGGAAGCATGTATGGCAGTTTTTGGAAGCATGTATGGCAGTTTTTGGAAGCATGTCTGGCAGTTTTTGGAAGCATGTATGGCAGTTTTTGGAAGCATGTATGGCAGTTTTTGGAAGCATGTATGGCAGTTTTTGGAAGCATGTATGGCAGTTTTTGGAAGCATGTATGGCAGTTTTTGGAAGCATGTATGGCAGTTTTTGGAAGCATGTATGGCAGTTTTTGGAAGCATGTATGGCAGTTTTTGGAAGCATGTATGGCAGTTTTTGGAAGCATGTCTGGCAGTTTTTGGAAGCATGTCTGGCAGTTTTTGGAAGCATGTATGGCAGTTTTTGGAAGCATGTATGGCAGTTTTTGGAAGCATGTATGGCAGTTTTTGGAAGCATGTATGGCAGTTTTTGGAAGCATGTATGGCAGTTTTTGGAAGCATGTATGGCAGTTTTTGGAAGCATGTCTGGCAGTTTTTGGAAGCATGTATGGCAGTTTTTGGAAGCATGTATGGCAGTTTTTGGAAGCATGTCTGGCAGTTTTTGGAAGCATGTATGGCAGTTTTTGGAAGCATGTATGGCAGTTTTTGGAAGCATGTATGGCAGTTTTTGGAAGCATGTATGGCAGTTTTTGGAAGCATGTATGGCAGTTTTTGGAAGCATGTCTGGCAGTTTTTGGAAGCATGTATGGCAGTTTTTGGAAGCATGTCTGGCAGTTTTTGGAAGCATGTATGGCAGTTTTTGGAAGCATGTATGGCAGTTTTTGGAAGCATGTATGGCAGTTTTTGGAAGCATGTATGGCAGTTTTTGGAAGCATGTATGGCAGTTTTTGGAAGCATGTATGGCAGTTTTTGGAAGCATGTATGGCAGTTTTTGGAAGCATGTCTGGCAGTTTTTGGAAGCATGTATGGCAGTTTTTGGAAGCATGTATGGCAGTTTTTGGAAGCATGTATGGCAGTTTTTGGAAGCATGTATGGCAGTTTTTGGAAGCATGTATGGCAGTTTTTGGAAGCATGTATGGCAGTTTTTGGAAGCATGTATGGCAGTTTTTGGAAGCATGTATGGCAGTTTTTGGAAGCATGTATGGCAGTTTTTGGAAGCATGTATGGCAGTTTTTGGAAGCATGTATGGCAGTTTTTGGAAGCATGTCTGGCAGTTTTTGGAAGCATGTCTGGCAGTTTTTGGAAGCATGTATGGCAGTTTTTGGAAGCATGTATGGCAGTTTTTGGAAGCATGTATGGCAGTTTTTGGAAGCATGTATGGCAGTTTTTGGAAGCATGTATGGCAGTTTTTGGAAGCATGTCTGGCAGTTTTTGGAAGCATGTCTGGCAGTTTTTGGAAGCATGTATGGCAGTTTTTGGAAGCATGTATGGCAGTTTTTGGAAGCATGTATGGCAGTTTTTGGAAGCATGTATGGCAGTTTTTGGAAGCATGTCTGGCAGTTTTTGGAAGCATGTATGGCAGTTTTTGGAAGCATGTATGGCAGTTTTTGGAAGCATGTATGGCAGTTTTTGGAAGCATGTATGGCAGTTTTTGGAAGCATGTATGGCAGTTTTTGGAAGCATGTATGGCAGTTTTTGGAAGCATGTATGGCAGTTTTTGGAAGCATGTCTGGCAGTTTTTGGAAGCATGTATGGCAGTTTTTGGAAGCATGTATGGCAGTTTTTGGAAGCATGTATGGCAGTTTTTGGAAGCATGTCTGGCAGTTTTTGGAAGCATGTATGGCAGTTTTTGGAAGCATGTATGGCAGTTTTTGGAAGCATGTATGGCAGTTTTTGGAAGCATGTATGGCAGTTTTTGGAAGCATGTCTGGCAGTTTTTGGAAGCATGTATGGCAGTTTTTGGAAGCATGTATGGCAGTTTTTGGAAGCATGTATGGCAGTTTTTGGAAGCATGTATGGCAGTTTTTGGAAGCATGTCTGGCAGTTTTTGGAAGCATGTATGGCAGTTTTTGGAAGCATGTATGGCAGTTTTTGGAAGCATGTATGGCAGTTTTTGGAAGCATGTATGGCAGTTTTTGGAAGCATGTATGGCAGTTTTTGGAAGCATGTCTGGCAGTTTTTGGAAGCATGTATGGCAGTTTTTGGAAGCATGTATGGCAGTTTTTGGAAGCATGTATGGCAGTTTTTGGAAGCATGTATGGCAGTTTTTGGAAGCATGTATGGCAGTTTTTGGAAGCATGTATGGCAGTTTTTGGAAGCATGTGGTGGCATGCCTCTCCTCCTCCCTCTGCAGCATTGCCGCAACCTCACCCTTGCACCCTCTCATCCCCTGCCTGCTCGCCTCCTCACTATGAAATTCTCATCGCAGGTGGGACCAGTGCCCATAGACGATGGCTTTGGCAAGGAGGTGGTGCTGCGCCTCTCCTCCTCGCTCGCCAGCACTGCCACCTTCTACACCGACTCCAACGGCCGAGATTTCATCCAGCGCACACGCAACTTCCGCCCCGACTGGAACCTCACCGTCACAGAGCCTGCTGCTGGCAACTACTACCCCGTGAGTGGATGGTATTTTGTTCACTGCAATCCCAGGTGCCAGCCAACCTGCCACACCATTCCAGTCCCCGGTACAACAGCGTTTCAACACCAGTTCCTTCCTTCCCTATGCCCCTCCTCCCTGTCCCACCCCCTCCCGTCCCCGCCTGCCACCACTCGCCCTCTCCCCCACCAGCTGAACGCGGGCATCTATTTGCACGACAACAACACAGACTTCTCAGTGCTCGTGGACCGACCCAGCGGGGCGACCAGCCTCTCAGATGGGCAGGTGGAGGTGATGCTGCACCGCCGCCTGCTGCATGACGACCACCGCGGCGTGGCAGAGCCGCTCAACGAGCGCGTGTGCGTGGGCGCGCAGGAGGGGGCACAGGAGGGGGCACAGGAGGGGGCACAGGAGGTGCAACAACCGCAACCGCCAACCTGCATGGGCCTCGTGGTCTCTGGGACTCTGCGCTTTGGGCTACACCCGCATGGGCGGAGCGAGGGGGGTGTGGTGGAAGTGGGAGGGGTGGAAGGGAGTCGAGAGGGGTTGGTGGCAGGGAAGGGGGCAGAGGAGGGAGTTGAAGCGGCTGCGGAGTGGCGGCGTGGGAATATTCAACGGATATTCTCTCCGCTGCAAGTGGTGTTTGCTGTCGAGGTGGGTGGTTGCGACGCATGCGCCTTGCGGCTGAGGCCTTGGGTGTTGTGACATGGGTCATGGGGGGGGCGCATTTCATCCGCATCCACATTCCCCCTCCCGCCCCCTCACTTGGCTTATAGCAGCATCCGTGCTCTCTAAGTTGCCTGTCTGTGTACTTGACAATGCTCCCTTTTGTTGCTGACTCTTGTGTGTGTGCGGCTTGTTGCTCTTGGGTGGGGATGACTGGCGCTGACTGCCTTGATGGGACATGATGGGGGCTTGAATGGGGTTGACCGGGGTTGATTGCCACTGGTGGTTCATATTGATGGTTGTCTGGGCGTGACTGGGATCAATGCGGCTGACTGTTGTTGACTTGTGCAGAATGAGGATGACCTGGCAGCTGAGGGTGGACTGTACACGTGGCAGTTCTCTGGCACCCAGAGGAGCAAGTCTGAGGAGTCAACGGAGTCAATGCTGTCAATGCCGCTTGCCGGAGAAGGGAGGCGGGCAATGAAAGAATCTGAGGGTAGGAGAGGGGAAGACGAGGTGGAGGTGGAGGAGGAGGAAGGTTATGAGGAGGAAGAAGAGATGAAAGAGGGAGAGGAGGAGGACGACGATGATGAGGAGGATGCAGAGGCAGTGGATGGGGGTGAGAAGGGTGGGGAGAGGGCGAGCAAGGAGGGCGCATACGAGCTTCCGAAGAACATTGCCATAATCACACTCGAGGTACCACCAGGCCCATTCAGCCCCCTCGTGCCATCATGCTCTCGCAGTTGCCCTTGTCACACTGACCCTGTGTTCAGCGTACACTAGTAGTACACGATGAGGCACCTCCCTTGCAATGCCGAATGTCCCCCTTTGCACCACACACACACGCACCCTGTTTCTCTCACTCTCTCCCCTCTTACCTCTGTTGCAGGAGGTGCATGAGTACAAGGTGCTGCTGCGACTCGCCCATCTCTATCAAGTGAGCTCCATCCGCCCCTGCACTGCCCTCCCAGTGCCAAACCCCACTTGGTCCACCCCCACTTCTTCACCGGTTGTCTGCTTATCCCTCTTCCTTCTCACCCAATACCCTTTACGTCAACCATTGCCCGTCCTCATTATCTTGCCTCCCCTGACGTCCCTTGACCCTGTTATGGCTTGCTCCGTCACAGGCCAATGAGGACCCTGTTCTCTCGCAGCCTGCTCGTGTGGACCTTGACAGGCTCTTTGCCCACCAAGAGGTAAGGAGTTGTTTTTATGATCGTGAATACTACCTACCTCTTCTTTGTTGCATTTCTGAAGTCAAGTCTATTGCTGCCACATTTTGACAGATTGAGAAGGTAACTGAGCTCAGCCTGATGGCCAATCAGAAGCTCTCAAAGATGCGGCCACCAATGAAATGGAGTACTGAGGAGGAGGTGGAGTCAACAAATGGCATCCATGGAGTTGGTCAGAGGAATGCATTTGACTCCACAGACGGACCTTTCATTGTGGAGCTTGGACCAATGGAGATTCGCACTTTTGTGGTTCACTTTGATGATTGATTATATAAGTTTTGATCTCGATGTTCGTTGATTCTTGTGTACATACATGTGGCCGATGGTCATTGCATGGTGACCACTGAATCTTCCTAGTTTTTCACACCTTGTAACAGATGCATAATAACTGGCTTAGTGTAGGTACCAATGGTACATACGGATTTCACATAACGGGTCTAACCGAGCGATGGATCATCATCACCAGAACCCAGCATCCACCGCAAACAGTTACCCAAGGGTTCCTCACTGTTATGAGTTGTGAAAGGAAAGAGTGCGCAGAACTCAATAATGCGGAAGTGATTACAACGTCTGAGAACACAACGAGGCCTAGGACTAATATAGCGAAGCTAGCTAGGCCGAGGTCGCGGGGTCGCGAAATGGTTGGGTGCAGGTTCGGGGTTGGGAAACCCGAACGCGACGCGGTGGTGGCTCGGAAGGCGAGGTCGACGGACCGAGCCTGGTTTTCCGAAAACCGGGGTTGTACGCGTACAGTGTGACCCAGTAAGGAATCCGGAAAATTCCTTACACTACCCCCCCCCTTAAGAAAGGTGGTGAATATCCGAGACACCTCGGCGGGCCAGATAAGCATCCACAACCGGATGTCCCAGGAGCGAATCAGCAGCGACATACGTGTCGTCCTCGCTCGTGCGTTCTTTCCAGCGAAGCAGGAATTTCACTGAGCGGCCGGCGGCAGTCACGTCCACGCGATTGTTGAGAATCTTCCAAGGTTCCAGCGTGGGCTCTGCCTCGGGGCGTGTGGTCGGCGCGATGGTTGGCCGAGCAACAGCTGGTGACTGCGGTTGTTCGTAGTGACGCAGCAAGCTGACGTGGAAGGCGTCATGTATTTTCCAATCGTCGGGCAGCAGCAGCTTCGCGGTGACAGGTGTCACCTTCTGGATGATACGAAATGGTCCCACGTATCGGGGCCTGAGTTTCGCGGGCTGCGGCAGCCTGAGGTTCTTGGTGTCCAGAAGCACAATTTGCCCTGCGCGGAAAGGTAAATTTCGTCGATGCTTATCCGCCTGGCGACTGGCCGTGGTATTAGCCTTGCGAATGAAATCCGCTGCCTTCGTGCGGGCTGTCTGCAGCTCCGTGACAAATTGATGCGATCGTGGTACCGGATTGTCCACAGTCGTTGAAGAGGGTACTACGGGGTCTATCCCGTAATTCAAGAAGAAAGGCGATTGTTTAGTCGTGGCCGAAGGGGCGTTGTTGTACGCGAATTCCAGCATCGGCAGCGAGTCCTCCCACTTGCTAATATCTGGGCAGTTGGTGCGAATCAGTTGCTCCATGGTCTGATTTGTCCGCTCCGTCTGTCCGTCGGTTTGCGGGTGGTATGACGACGAAAACTGCAGGCGGGTACCGTACTGTGCCCACGTCTCCTGCCAGAACTTCGACGTAAAATTCGGATCATGATCGCTGATGATCGCCGAGGGTAACCCGTGTAAGCGTACGACAGTGGAGATGAACAGTTTGGCTGTCTCTTCGGCTGTGATCGTCGTTCGGCATGGGGCGAAATGCGCCATTTTCGTTAGGCGATCGACGACGACCATCACTGAGTCGTTGCCACTCGTGCCAGCTGGGAGCCCTGTGACGAAATCCATCGTCACCTGTTGCCACGGTCGTTCGGGTGGCGCGAAGGGTTGCAGCAGTCCGGCTGGCCTCTGTCGCGAAGACTTCATTGCTTGGCAGGTCGGGCAAGTTGACACGTAGCGCTGCACATCGGTTTGCATGTCCGGCCAGTAATAATTCCGCTGCAGCAGCTTCAGTGTTTTGTCGGTACCGAAATGCCCGGAAAGGTTGGAGTCGTGAACCTCCTGCGTCAGCAGCTCCCGTAAAGGCTGGTATGCTGGTACCCAAATCCGGTTCGTACCGGCTTTTAGGTAGTACTTGCCGTGCGGTGTGGCAGCCTGTTGTTGCGGGTTTCGAAAAAACCTGTCGATCTTGTAGCCGTGGGTGAATAGTCCCGTCAGCATCGGGTTGGTATGGGCGATTAGCACCGCCGCGTTTTGCATGGATGGTCTGGTAAGGGCGTCGAAGGCGGACTGCTCCCTCTCCCCCCACCGGAAATCACTGTCCTGATGCAGCAGGTCGGTCAGCGGCTTGGTTATCCCTGCCATGTTAGGTACAAAACGGCGAACGTAATTAACAAACCCCAGAAAACTCTGCAACTCAGGGATATTAGTAGGCGGCTTCCACTTAACGATGGCGTCCACTTTACGCGGGTCGATTTTGATCCCTTCTCCAGAAACCACATGCCCCAAAAATTTCAATTCCGGCTTCAGAAACTCGCACTTAGACCCCTTCGTAATCAGTCGATGCCCCTGTAAACGCCGGAACACCTCCTCTAAATCCCGCAGATGGTCCTCTTTTGTCGCGCTGTACACCAGGATGTCGTCTAGATACACGATGACCTTCTTGTCCAGCATGTCCCAAAAAATCCCATTCATGGTGAGCTGGAACGTCGAGGGCGCGTTTGTCAGGCCGAATGGCATCACCGTGAACTTGTAACTGCCGTAGCGTGTGCGAAACGCGGTCTTCGGGCAGTCGTCGGCGAACACGCGAATTTGGTGGTAGCCTCCTCGCAGGTCGATTTTCGAGAAGTATCGAGCTCCGCGAAGTTGATCCAGCAGATCGTCAGTTCGCGGGATCGGGTAACGCGACTTTATCGTGACCCGATTCAGCGCCCGATAATCAATGCACATGCGTAGGCCTGTCAGATTTATATGACAGAGCTACTGTAGGCTATAGTGGGGTAGCACATATGGGGTACAGTTTTCTAGGGTTTGCATTTGTACCCAACTTTCCCTTAGTCATTCTAATTCCTGTTTTCTTAATTCACATGGTATAGAGCGGGTTCCTACATGGGACCGTTCCTTCCTAAGGGCCCACCATAACGAAATTTTTTTTTTTAGCTGCCCGACGCGCATTGCGCCCCTGCCCTAAATTTTTTTTAGTGGCCCCCCCCCTAGCGGCCCCTACGCGACCCCTACGCGGCCCCTACGCGGCCCCTACGCGGCCCCTACCCGGCCCCTACGTCGCCCCTGACGCGGCCCCTACGCGGCCTCTGACGCGGCCCCAACGCGGCCCCTGACGTGGCCCCTACGCGGCCCCTGACGCGGCCCAAACGCGGCCCCTGACGCGGCCCCTACGCAGCCCCTGACGCGGCCCCTGCCGCGGCCCCTGACGCGGCCCCTACGCGGCCCCTACGCTGCCCCTGAGGCGGCCCCTGACGCGGCCCCTGACGCGGCCCCTCCGCCGCCACTACCGCGGCCCCTACGCCGCCCCTGACGCCGCCCCTGACGCGGCCCCTGCCGCGGCCCCTGACGAGGCCCCTGACGCGGCCCCTGCCGCGGCCCCTCACGAGGCCCCTGACGCGGCCCCTGACGCGGCCCCTGACGCCGCCCCTGACGCGGCCCCTGACGCGGCCCCTGACGCGGCCCCTGCCGCGGCCCCTGCCGTGGCCCCTGACGCGGCCCCTGACGCGGCCCCTGCCGCGGCCCCTGCCGCGGCCCCTGACGCAGCCCCTGACGCGGCCCCTTCGCCGCCCCTGCAGCGGCCCCTACGCCGCCCCTGACGCGGCCCTCTCCTGCACCTGACGCGGCCCCTAGCGGCCGGCCGCTGCCGTCCCTGAGGCAGCAGCCGCCGCCGTCTCTGCAGCAGCAGTCGCAGCCAAACGGCCGAGCCGCCGAGCCGCCCAGCCGCTGAACCGCCCAGCAGCCGAGCCGCCCAGCAGCCGAGCCACCAAGCCGCCCAGCAGCCGAGCCGCCGAGCCGCCCAGCAACCGAGCCGCCGAGCCGCCGAGCCGCCCAGCAGCCGAGCCGCCGAGCCGCCCTGCAGCCGAGCCACCCGAGCCGCCCTGTCCGGTAAGAGCAGCGCCCCTTTCACAGCACTGCCCTCACCCTACTGTTTGCGCTGCTAGTCTACTACTGTCATGGCTACCCCTAGTGTCCTCGCTTTTGACGCTGAGGGTCGGGCCATTGACTTTGATGTCTGGATAGATGACCTGCAGCTTTTCTTACAGTGCGACAGGGCAGACGGCCTCTCCCTCTTTGACCTCACTTCTGGTGCCTCTCCTGCCCCCGCTGCTGATGCTGACGCCACTGTTCGCTCACAGTGGGCCACGCGCGATGTTGCTGCACGTCTTGCTGTGCGTCGCCACCTGCCTACCTCTGAGCGTGCGCACTTTAGCCAGTACAAGAGTGCTCAGACCTTGTACGACGCTGTAGTTGCGCGCTACTCCTCCCCTGCCACTGCTGCACTGAGCCGCCTCATGCTACCGTACCTCTTCCCTGACCTTGCTGCCTTTCCCACAGTCGCTGACCTCATTACGCACCTCCGCACTAGTGACACTCGCTACCGCGCTGCGCTTCCTGCTGAGTTCTGCGCCAAGAACCCCCCCCCCCATGTACATCACCCTCTACTACATAGTCACCCGGCTCCCTGACTCCCTTCGCGTAGTCAGGGACCACTTCCTCTCAGTTTGCCCCACCACTCTCACCGTTGACCTCCTCGAGAAGTCCCTCCTAGCAGCATAGAAGAGCATAGTCGTTGTAGGAGCCTCTCGTGGTGACCCTCGCACCCCCATCTTTGAGGGGTGTTCCCCCTCCCCCCTTTTGCCCTCTGTTGCCTCTGCTGCTGCGGCCGACCTCGTTGGGCTTGAGTCGGTCGGTGCGGCGTCTACCCCTAGCGGGAGACGTCGCCCTGGCAAGGGCAAGGGGGGAAGGGGCACTGGAGGAGCTAGCGGGGGCGGTGGAGGCGGAGGTGGAGGCGGTGGAGGGGGTGGGGGTTGCGGTGGGGGTGGTGGCGGGGGTGGAGGTGTCGGTGGCGGCAGTGGAGGCGGAGGCGGAGGCGGCGGTGGCGGTGGGAGCGGAGGTGGCGGCGGTGGAGGAGGAGGCGGCGGAGGAGGTGGAGCTGGTCGGGGTGGCGCTGCGCAGAGGGTCGGCTCCGGTGGTGGTCAGCGCCAGCAGCAGCAGCAGCAGCAGCAGCGCACTCGTGACATCCCC